CCCCCCCCCCCCGGCCAGCAGTGGGGGCTTCGCTCCAACACGTGTGATGTTGCAGGGATGGGGGGACCCTTTAAGGAGCTGGCAGGTGGGAAACGATGCTCAGTCCTGGGCAGGATGAAGCCCAGCTGGTACCGGGCTGGGGAGGTGGTTATAAAAGGGGCAAGGAGGCAGTGGGGAGGGTAGAGCCTTGAGCCTTGAGCCTTGGGCCTTGGTGGGATAGGGGTGATGGCTGCTCATGAAGCTTCTGGCTGAGCACTCAGACTTCAGCACCCATGTGGATTTTGGGCTCTGCAAGTTGTAACCACTCTGCTTTGCTGTTTCAGGGGGTAACATCTGCACCACCCGTGGGGTGAACTCCTGCAAGCAGTGCCTGGCTGTGAGCCCCCTCTGCGCCTGGTGCTCTGGAGAGGTAAGAGCTGGGGGGAGGCTGAGCAGGGCTGAAGCCCTTCCCTGAGCACAACAGGGGATGTGTAGGAAGGGATGAGCTTTTGGGCTGTGGTCCCTGTGTTACAGCCACAAGCTCAGTCTCCATCTGTTCCCGCCATGTCTAAACACATTCCTCGGTGGCATTTGGCTCTGACCACAGCTTGAGATACACATCATGGGGCCTGGGCTGCCCGTTCCTGCCTTGTTTCAAAGATCTGCCCCTTATCTGAGTGTATTGCCAAGGGCTACATGGAGCTGGCTGGGAAATGCTGATGTTTCCACTGGGAATTCACTTTGTTTCTCAAAAAACCCATACATTTGAAAACTGTTTACTTTTAGGTTGATTCTTGAAAACCTATTGTAAAGCTCTGGCTAAAGCAGTTTAATTGCTGAAAGGGCTGGAAAGGGAAGGGGGCCTGGTGGGAGGAAGAAAAAATACTGATTAGAAGTTGGGGTTTGGGTTTAAAAGCCTTTTTTTTTTTTTTATGGGAAAGAGGGGGAGAAGGAAGACAAGGTGCTTGGTTTTGGCTACGGAGCTAAGGAGGATGTGAGAGCTGAGCTGTGTCTCTCAAATCACCCTGTTCGAGTGGGTGAGAACCTGGAAGATCTGCCACGTTCCCCTCCAGAAATGCTGCCCTGGGGGTTGGTCCACTAGTGAGGTAAGAGGATGGAGTTTCCCAACAAGTGGGAGAGCAGCCCCAGGGCAGAGACAAGGAGAGGTGAGGCAGGGATGGGGAGAGGTGATGAAACCTCCTTCAGCGGGAGCAGTGCCCCTCTGGCAAGGCTTTTCCTGCTTTTTCTGCTTCTCCATTGGTGAAACCCTGCTTCCTCTAGCCATGGTGCCCATCAGGACTGGGAAAAGACCTGGGAAAAAGCAATCCAAGATGGAAAATGCTGTTGGATGGTGCCTGCATGGCCCAATGCTTTGGGGCCAGTGCGTATCTGGAGGGGATGCCTCCACTTGCTGTGTCCATCAGATACCACCGGGGGATCTCGGTATGTGGTAGAATAAAGATGCTTGTGTGTTATTTCCTACAAGGAGTGGCTGAAACTTGCAGCGTGATAAGGCGTCTCCACTTCCCTCTCCAGAGGGGAAACGGCTGCTTAGGCTGGGCTTGCTCCTTCCCAGCCACTGATCCTGAGCTGGGTTGGTGTCTTGACACTGCAGTGGGGGCTGTGGGGTTTTTTTTCTCCAAATCAGCAAAGGTTTCCAAAAAAGGAAATATTTCCAGTGCTCCTCAGGGCTGTGCTCACGGACAGACGTGACAAGCAGCGAGGGAGGCGTCCCGCTGCCAGCAACCAGCCCCTGGAGATCCAGGCTGTGCAAGCGCTGCTTGGCAACTCTGCCTCCAACATCTGGACCACATTGTCTTAATTTAGCAAATGAGGATTTTTTCTGTGGGTTTGTTTAATTTCCCTGGGGTGGGGAAGGTCTCTGATACTGACCCCCCCTTTTTTTAAAGGGACAGTGCCCTTTTTGTGCTCCTTCTGCTCTCACGGCAGCCCTTTCCCACCCACACTGCCTTCCTGTGGAGCCTGGGGTTATCAGTTACTCCTGCTCCCTCCTGGCTTTGGATAGGAGAAGGATTTCATTGTGAATTCCTGTGAGCACTGAGCACTGATGCAGAGAAGAATTGAGTTGTTGGTTTCTTGGGTTTGGGTTTTTTTTTTTCTTCAGAAAACTTGACCACTCTTACCAACAAAAAGATGAGCCCATCCACTTGCTTTTTGTTTTGGAAAAAGTTAGCCAAGACTTAACACTGAGATATGGCTCTAGAATCACTTTGGAGAGTATTGTGACAGATCTTCCAGGGTCTCACCCACCCAAAATGTCACCTGCTCACATTTCCTTGGAGGAAAGGTGGAGGCAAGTCTGGACCAGGGCTTGATTGTAGAGAAGATGCTGGAAGGTTTTAGCTTAATCCACAGAGGAATGTGTGCTTTGGGTCCTCCCAGGAGCTCTCCTGCAGAGAAGCTGATGTTGCATGTGGTTGCCTTCGAGATGAAAATAGAGATGCCCTGGGGATGTGTGACTTCCCACAGCCTCCCTGCCCAGCAGCGAGGGAGCTTGGGGATGGAGCTGGCTCTGCCAGTGCCCTACCTGACCCTCCCCTCACAGGGTTTGGAGGTAGCAATTGGGATAAAATCATCATGTTTTCTCTCCTGGAGGGAGCTTGAGCTGTGAAACCTCCTTCCCTTCAGTGGGACAGAGGTGCCCAAAGGGGAGGTGGAGCTGGGGAGCATCTCGGCTAAGGGCTGTGGGATGGCTTGTGACAGAGGGGTGGGAACACGTACCCGCACCCTCTGGGCAATGGGGAGCTGATGCTGGCAGGGCTGTGCTGCCAGGGAAGCAGGGTTTGCAGGGTGTGTGTCAGCGGATAAAGTCCCTCCACTGAGAGTTTGTCACCAGCAAGCCTGGGCTCCCTCTGGGTCACTCCTACCTGGGGCTGTGTCCAAGCCGCTGAGTCTGCAAACCTACAGAGACTGGGGGAGGGGGGAAGGCTGGGGGCTGTGAGGACCTCATAGCCAAATGCCCTGTTGATGGCAGAAATGTCCTTTGCCTTTTGCAGTAGTTTTGTTGTTTGGGAGGTTCTTGTGCATCCTGAGCCAATCGTGGTCTTTGGCCCTCCAGGGAAGGGGGAAGGATGCAGCCTTGGGGTTAAATAGCTTCTCCATGGGAACATCACAGTAGGAATGATGCTGCTAATCCCATGAGGTGCTTACATGGCCTCTGAGGTCCTGGGACCTCCTCAGGATCTCCAGGTATCACCCAAGAGCCCAGAACCACAGTTAAACCTCTCTGCCCAGCCTGCTTTTCACCCGCATATCTTTCCAGTGACTTCCTTGCACGAGACAGGAATGTACGTGATGATTGGGATGTGGAGTACACCAGGCACCTCTTCCCACAGCAGAGACCCCCGTGGGGCAAGCCTATGGGGTGGGTGGGTGCAAGGGAGCTAATTTAGAGGGCTGACTCGTCCTCTTCACCGACAGTATGTTGTCCAGGCAGCAAGGGTGGGAGCGAGAAGCCGCGGGGGAGGAACACGCCTGCTGATGTATTTTCTGGCTATGGCTTGGCCACTGTTTCCAGAGGGCTGTAGGCCAGCCAAAGCCTCCTGACACTGTTTGCATTTTTCTGCCTGTTTGCTTAAAACACACAAATTCATTCCTGGGTTCAGTCAGCCTGAAGCTGGGGGAGCCAACATTCTGGATGGGGAACCTCTCCAGTGCTGGGAGGTGCAGCGTTGAGATCCAGCTTCCCAGGAGCAAGGAGGGAGCTGAACCAGCTGCACCAGGACTTGTGCCACCCCTGTTTGCTGCAGGGAAAAGTTGTTCAGGTCATCTGCTGCAGGACTTTGACTGCAGAAAGATTTGGGCTGCAGGAAGGAGGTGGAGAAATTCCCTGGAGGGGAGGGCGGCTGCTGCCCAGCCGGGAACTTGCGGCAGCAGATCCTGGCAGCGTTGGGCTGGGAGAGAAATTCTTCCCATATTTGTCTTCAAGAGAAACCAGAGTGTCAGAGCAGTTCTGAATGCGCCATGATAAGGGTGAGGAGCCAGGAGCTTTCTAGGAAAGGAGGGATGGGGCTGGAGCCCCACTATGACTCCACACTTTGTTCTTCCTGCCCCTGATGGGCACTTGATGGCTTTTCCCATCGCCCCGTTGCCTTTTTGTTCTTTCACTCCTTTTTTGGTTTTCCTTTCCTCCGGCCAGCTCCGTCCGGCAGGAAGCTGGGGAGCTGGAGATAAGCCTGAACTGTTCTCGGACAGGAACCAAGTGCCATTTCGTGCAATGGGCTCGCCCACAGCGGGGCTTGTTCCTTGCTTGTGGTGAGGTTTCTAACAACACATGTTGAGAAAATGGGGGGGAAACATGGCTCATGTTTTGCTAGTTTAGAAAATAAATTTTAAAAAAGTCCCAGACTCCACCCCTCACCCCCAGCCTGGCATGTTCACATCCCACCTCACCCTCTTCTAGCCACCCCACGTAGCCAAAAACCAACCCTGAGGCTCCAGCTGCTAGAAGTCAGCAGGGGTTTTGGCAGGCATGTGTTATCCATCGCTCCTTCTTGGCAGGGGTTGCTGAGCTCCCCTATGGAGCACAGCAGACCAGAAGCTGCTCTGGTCCCAAGCAGAACTTGCTGATCCCAGATGCCCTCTGTCTGCCACCCGCCTCAAGCAGAGACTGCGTTCCCCAAAGAGCCTCTCACCCTGGTCTTGCATTAGGTGTGATAAAGCAGCAGCTCTCCAGGGAAAAGGGGCCCTCTCCCCTCCTCCCAGCACAACCCTGGGGATTCCCATGGGAAACTGGCTCCTGACCGTGTCCCTCTCCTGCAGGGCTTGGCGCCGTCCTCCCCTCGCTGTGACCTGCGTGCCAATCTCCTGCGTAACGGCTGCGGGAAGGACTACATCGAGTTCCCCATCAGCAGTGTAACCATCCTGGAGAACAAACCCCTCAGTGACAAGGGCTCAGGGAGCTCCACCACTACCCAGATGAGCCCCCAGAAAATACAGCTGAACCTGCGGCCGGGTAAGAGCTCCCAAAGTGCTGCAGGAAGGGGAGATGCAGTGGGAGTAACTCAAAGGGCACAAGCAATGAGTGAGCCATCAGTCTGCCTCGCTGGCCAAGGCTGTCTCATGTCCATGTGGAGGCTGCACCAAACTCTCTGGGAATATCCCTGATGGGCAGCCAGGCTCTCTGCGAGCTGATTTCTGCTGCTCAGTCCCTTGGCTTGGTCCTGCCATATCCCAAGGGGCAGGGTGGAATTGAATTTCAACAACTCACGGGCTTATTTTATAAAGCCATTTAGACCTTAGCCACTGCTGCTGCATTCTGAATGCTTTGGTGGAAGTCAGCTCATGCTTAACGTGCTGTAGAGCAGCTGGCAAGGCTGGCCTGCCAACAGGTCCCTGTAATTTTCCAGGCTCTTTCAGTCAGGCAGGCTGGAGCCAATTAACTGTGATGGTTTGTTTGCCAGCACGGAGGAGTTTCAAGCGATGCTAGGCAGGAGGCAAAACTAACAGGCATCACCTGCAGTCACCAAACTGGTTTGGGGAATGTGGAGCAAGTGGTGCCATCACGGTGCTCTGCCCCTCATGTAGCCCACCCCTGGCCACCCACTCATGGATGATTCTTCCAGTCTCAGCAGGCACAATTTTGGTTCCTTGTGCTCACTAAAGTCTCAGGGCCAGATATCGGTGGCTGGTAGCATGTGGCACGCTCTGCGTATCCCTGGGCCTGGCCAAGAGGAGTCCTGACCCACCTGAATGACAGCAGTCTGAAGTGTCCCCATGCCATAGGGGCATGCAACTGCTGAGTGGCCCTTGCTCTGTTTGGGTCTAAAGATACTTGGCAGGAGGCAGGTAGGTGTGCTGCTCTGGACAGGAACAGCATGCAGTGCCATTAGGGCCCTGTTGCTTGGAAGCAGGAGAAGAAAACCCCAGCTTGAGATCACCTCTGCCCAACCAAGAAGGCTTGGCAGGAGTCATCTGCCTTGACTCACGAATCAAGACCAAATGCTGAAGGATGCAAGTAGGACAGGTCACAGCCCATGTCGCACGAGCTCAGGGCCCTCACGTTTTTAGCTCAGCAAGGAGAAACAGATACTGTCTGGCCACAAAGTTGGGACCCCTGGCTGCGTGGTGGTCTGCAGCTGGAGGGGGGATGGAGCTCTTTGAGCTCTCATAGATTTTGAAATTTTCTCTATCCTGAAAGTCAGAATGTGACATGTAGGTTTAGAAGGAAATATGAAAACAATAACAATCTAAGTTCAGTTAAAGCTTTTTTTCCTTAACATTTGAGGTGTTCTGAGAAGGCTGCAGCTGTGCCCCAGCTTACGTTTCAAAGAAGTCGTTTCAAAGAACAGCAAGAAAGAACCTTTGTCCCTTTTAAAAGGCAGAAAGAAAAGGTCAAGAACTTCAAATTTTTTTTTTTTTTTTTTGGAAGTGCAAAAGTCATCGAAACTGGCCTGTTCCCCAGAAGGTTCTATCTAAGGAGGTTTTTGTTTCAATGGAAAATGTTTCACCAAAAATTTCCCAGAAGGGGTTGGGAGAAGCCAAGAGAAGAGGGAAGGAACAGGGATAGGGGAGGCCCTGGGAGATCCTCGGAGTCCTTGGGAGCTCAGCGAAGTCCGAAGCAGCCATGCAGCCCCATGGTAATTTCTGTAAGACCTGCTGCCCACACGCTGGGTGTTTCACTCGCTCCATCCAGCCTGTGCTGTTCACGCTTTCAAGCAGGACAGCTTGGGGGGCCAGCTGTGAGCAGAGGATCTGCTCATGTCCTGGTAATGAGAGGGTTGGAGAACAGAAGCCATAAGCCGCATTTGCCAGTCTCCAGAGGGTGCACAGCATGACTCCTGTGCAAGCGCCCTGCCCTAAGGGCTTTGCCCCTTTGTGTCTGTTTAACTGTGATATTCTCCTCCCAGCAGCTTTAAAGCATCTCCTTGGGTTCCTGCCGACCCCGTAGGTTGACTTTCCCCCTAGTCCTGCGGTGAGCCCCCTTTGCTCATCCCGGGGGAGGATCTCTCACTTTGTTGCCCTGTCACATTCCAGATGACTCCCAGATCTTTCGCGTCAAAGTGCGTCAAGTGGAAGACTACCCTGTGGACATCTACTACCTGATGGACCTGTCCAACTCCATGAAGGACGATCTGAGGAACATCCAGAACTTGGGCACAAATCTGGCCAACAAGATGCGCAAGCTCACTAGTAACCTACGCATCGGTTTCGGGGCCTTTGTGGACAAGCCCATTTCTCCCTACATGTATATCTCTCCTCCGCAAGCCATCACAAACCCTTGCTATGAGTAAGTCCCAGGTTGAGGGAGTCCTGGAAGGGCCGGAAGTTAATGGGACATCACTGGAACATGACTGGAAATACATATCGATGGATTTCAGCAGGGAGTTGGGTGCCTGATTTTGGGCAGGGTTTAAATCGTGCTGCACTGCAGGTACTGCTGGCACAGGGAGGATGAGCAAGTCTAAACCACAAATGCCATTGCAACTGAAAAGCTCTTAAGGGAACCAAAAATTTTATATCATTTTTTCAGGAGAGCTGTTGAGGCGCAAAGAATGTGACTTCTAAAAATCCCAGCGGGACAGAGCTGGGAGCTGACCTGAGCCCAGCATCTCTAAACATGTGATTTTTGAAAGGTCCTTCACCAGCCTTTGGCTGTGTCCTTGGGCTCTTGGGGTGGTTGGGTCCCTCCAAAGCATCGTGGAGAGGGCCATGGGACGTAGGATGGCTACAGGGTGGGATTGGGAGCCAGAAGAGCCCTGTGAGCCCTGACTGCTCTCCCCCCACAGGATCGGGGAAACCTGCCTGCCCATGTTTGGCTACAAACACGTCCTGTCGCTCACGAATGAGGTGACTCGCTTCAACGAGGAGGTGCAGAAGCAGAAAGTCTCACGGAACCGCGACGCACCCGAGGGAGGCTTTGATGCCATCATCCAGGCCACCGTGTGCGATGTAAGGGGCAAGAAGGCCTGGCTGTGACTGGGAGAGGGTCATCAGTCTGGTGGGTTAGCAGAGACCACTCAGCCCTACCAGGACAGGACCATAAGCCCTTGGGGCAGCTGCAGGTCTCAGATCTGGAGAGGGTGAACATTCAACTAGGACAACAGCCAAGGCAAGGGAAGAGCAGGACTCTTACATGGTCCTGGGAGGAGAGGGGAGCAGATCAGGCACTTGGGAACTGATGATGATCCTGTGTCAGCCCTGCAGTGACCAGCCCAGAAGGGACATCTCCTGTGCCTGCACCTTGATCTTGCTGGAAATGGATGGGGGGGGTGGGGTTGCATCCCTCAGTCATTAGCCACCTTGATTAACACCCTAGCGAATTAAAACCTGCCTTTCACCTGCACAAGCAGCCCACACCCACCCACACAGCACTTCCCTGGGAGAGCGATTGCCCGCGGTTCCCTCTGCAGTGGTTGGTCCCTATGGCCAAACCACGACCTGGGATGGCAGCCACGGCAGTAGCGGGGTGCTGGCATGTAGGGCTGCCCTCGGTACGTGCTGCTGCGTGACTGGGAGCTGCCTTTCGCTGCAGGAGAAAATTGGCTGGAGGAACGATGCTTCCCACCTACTCGTCTTCACCACGGATGCCAAGACCCACATCGCGCTGGATGGCAGGCTGGCTGGCATCGTGCAGCCCAACGATGCACAGTGCCACATTGACAAGGACAACTTCTACTCTGCCTCTACCACACTGGTAAATCCCAACCCATGCACAGGGTTGTGGAGCTCAGAGCTTCTGTTGAGGGTTCCCATAGGGTGGTCCAGGTGTGGTTGGAGAGCATGATGGGGACCAGGGTGGTTGGGGCTGCGTGTTCCTAGGGTATAGCCTCTCCTTTTTCCCAGGACTATCCCTCTCTGGGCCTGATGACTGAGAAACTCTCACAGAAGAACATCAACTTAATCTTTGCAGTTACGAATACAGTTGTTGGCCTCTACCAGGTAAGAGCTGCTGCGCAAAGCCACCTTCTCGGGGGGCTGGTGGGTCCCAAGGAGCACCCCCCTTGCAGCTGGCCATGGGTGGCTGGACATAGCTTGGTGGTCTCCTGCCCTATCAAAGCTCCTTGGGAAGCTCCTGTATCCCCAGTCAGGGTTTAGCCCAGCTGTGGTACATGCTCCTGTCACGAGCAGACCACGCTTATGATATTTCTCCAGAACTACAGCGAGCTGATCCCAGGCACAACCGTGGGCATCTTGTCCAGAGACTCCAGCAATGTCTTGCAGCTTATAGTGGACGCCTACGGGGTGAGTACGCAGTGTGATGGCTTTCTCCCTCCCAAAATAGCCACTGTTTCACACTACAAGATTTGGCTGCTCCCCCAGCCCCGAGCATCCTCCCTGGACCAGCTGTGAGCATCTGCCTCCACTCATGTGTGGAGGGACCCCAGGGAAGGGAGATCACTCTGCTGCCTGCTCCTTCCCATCCTCAAACATATTTCCCTGTGGGGGACAGTGTAGCTGAGTCCTGAGAAAGACTCGGGGGACTCGGGGCACTTGGCTCCTTTCCTGTGCACGTGGAAGCATCGCTGCAATGTGGCGGCTGCTCAGGGGACCCTTCCCCAGGACTGAGCCCTGCCCAGCCTGTGCTTTCTTCTCCATAATTCCTCTCTCTTCCCCCAGAAAATCCGATCCAAGGTGGAGCTGGAGGTGCGTGACCTCCCCGAAGAGCTCTCCCTGGCCTTCAACGCCACCTGCCTCAACGACGAGGTCATCCCTGGGCTCAAGTCTTGCATGGGGCTCAAGATCGGGGACACGGTGAGGATCCTGTTGACGGGCTTGGGTTTTCTCCCCCTCTGTATAGCAGCGCTGCCAGCTTGGCTGATGCTCTTCACCAGCACTGTCTGCTTGCCCCACCACCTCCTGGGTGACACAGACCCTGCAATCTTTGAAGTGGAGAGGGGGGTCCAGCTGAGTGGCTCCAAGGAGGAAAAAACTTTGAGTCTGCTGGATGCAAACTCTGTGGTCCTTTAGCCCAAGCTGCTGGCCACAGTGCATGGGATTTTAGCCTAGCAACTGTGGCAGGCAGGTGCCCTGGCCCAAACCATGCTGGGACAGCTTTGACAAGCCCAAAGAGACCTGGTGGGTCCCTTTTCTGGGCTCCTTAAGCTTGGCTGTGGACTGGAGTGGGTACCCCAATACTGTGCTGGTGGTACTGACACCCCGACGCGCCCCTCTGCCCTCCAGGTGAGCTTCAGCATCGAGGCCAAGGTGCGGGGATGCCCACGGGAGCAGCAGAAAACCTTCACCATCAAACCTGTGGGCTTCAAGGACAGCCTGACGGTGGAGGTGAACTTCGACTGTGACTGCTCCTGCGAGAGCCAAGCCGAGGCCAACAGCTCGTCCTGCAGCCGAGGCAACGGCACGCTGGAGTGCGGCGTGTGCCGCTGCAACCCCGGGCGCCTGGGCTCGCACTGCGAGTGCTCGGAGGAGGAGTACAACCCCTCGCAGCAGGACAACTGCAGCCCCCGGCCAGGCCAGCCCCTCTGCAGCCAGCGCGGCGAGTGCATCTGCGGGCAGTGCGTGTGCCACAGCAGCGACTTCGGGAAGGTGACGGGCAAGTACTGCGAGTGCGACGACTTCTCCTGCGTCCGCTTCAAGGGCCAGATGTGCTCGGGTGAGTGCTGGGCTCGGAGGGGAGGCAGCTTAGGGTATTTACGCTGCCTGAGCTCATGGGCAAGGGAGGCACCAGCTATTTTGGGACTCATCCCACGCATTGTCCCAACCTCTGGCTTGCTCAGGCTTGGCTCTCACTGGACCAGCCCTGGGTCTGAAGGGATGCCAGGGGATCTACTCCATTTTTGGCAGCTGGTATCTCCTCCTGTGCCTGAGAGCTGTGGCAGGGTGATGGGCTAGAGGGTTAAAAGCAGACCTCGGTCCCTGCTTAGACTCAGGAGTCCTATCAGGGGGGCTGGTGGGAACCCAGGGAAGCAGCTCTGGGGTGTGCAGGGCAGGGACCCTGCCCGAATCAAAGCCCCTGACATATCAGAGGTATCGCTCTGTAGGAGGAAACCCCAGGGTGGAGGGAGAGGGGTGGGAGAGGCAATTTTTATCCTCCACCCAGTTCTTGAAGACTCCCCATTGGCAAAAGCATTGGGGAAGCAAATCTTCCCCCCTCGCCGGCCTTGCAGCATCTCCCCTCCTGAATATTCATCTCTTTTGTGTGCTCCAGCCTTG